AAGCCGCGTCTGAGCTCACTTCCAAAACTGCCACTTATCTCACTACCGAGGCCGTCACTACCTCCGATCTGAGGCCGTCACCTACCCCCAGTGAAGCCGCGTCTGAGCTCACTACCAAAACTGCCACTGATCTCACTACCGAGGCCGTCACTACCTCCGATCTGAGGCCACCTACCCCCAGTGAAGCCGCGTCTGAGCTCACTACCAAAACTGCCACTGATCTCACTACCGAGGCCGTCACTACCTCCGATCTGAGGCCACCTACCCCCAGTGAAGCCGCGTCTGAGCTCGATACCAAAACTGCCACTGACCTCACTACCGAGGCCGTCACCTACCCCCAGTGAAGCCGCGTCTGAGCTCAATACCAAAACTTCCACTGATCTCACTACCGAGGCCGTCACTACCTCCGACCTGAGGCCGTCACCTACCCCCAGTGAAGCCGCGTCTGAGCTCACTACGAAAACTGCCACTGATCTCACTACCGAGGCCGTCACCTACCCCCAGTGAAGCTGCGTCTGAGCTCAATACCAAAACTACCACTGATCTCATTACCGAGGCCGTCACTACCTCCGATCTGAGGCCGTCACCTACCCCCAATGAAGCCGCGTCTGAGCTCACTACCAAAACTGCCACTGATCTCACTACCGAGGCCGTCACTACCTCCGATGAAGCCGCGTCTGAGCTCAATACCAAAACTACCACTGATCTCATTACCGAGGCCGTCACCACCTCCGATCTTTGGCCGTCACCTTCCCCCAGTGAAGCCGCGTCTGAGCTCAATACCAAAACTGCCACTGATCTCACTACCGAGGCCGTCACTACCTCCGATCTGAGGCCGTCACCTACCCCCAGTGAAGCCGCGTCTGAGCTCAATACCAAAACTGCCACTGATCTCACTACCGAGGCCGTCACTACCTCCGATCTGAGGCCGTCACCTACCCCCAGTGAAGCCGCGTCTGAGCTCACTACCAAAACTGCCACTGATCTCACTACCGAGGCCGTCACTACCTCCGATCTGAGGCCACCTACCCCCAGTGAAGCCGCGTCTGAGCTCGCTAACAAAACTGCCACTGATCTCACTGTGTGATATCAGGCTAATTTCCTATATTTATCTCCATTTTGATTTATATTATTTTCTCTACACCTGATGTCCCCTCAAGGGAGGTTCCTTGACACTGGTGAGGAGCTCTTGATATAGGGACTTGGAGCTGTGCTCCAGACCCATGAACTGAGCCTAAATACAGTGGAACCTCAAATATCGAACTTTCTTCGGTCCAGAAGTCTGTTCGAGCGCCTTTACCGAATGAATTTATTCCCATCAGGAATAATGTAAATTAGATTAGTCCATTTTAGACCCTTAAAAATACACTTATAAAAGCACTTACAAAAATACGCTTACATAATTGGTTGTGTTGGGAGCAGTTCGATTTTTGAGGTTCAACTGTACCTTCCATCGCTCCCTTTGTTGAATAATCCCCACAGATTTAGCGCCACAGATCGATACCATGCCTAACCCTTCTAGGGCAGGGTAGGTGCCTGAGCCCGAGCCTTTAGCTCATAAGACTGTCATTCCCATTTGCCCCCTTGGGGCGGGGATGGCACACCAGAGAGGCCTAGCTTGTGGCTAGGCCTGGGGACAGTTGGTCCCAAAGATGAGGAGGTACTTGTGCCTCCTCCCATGGGAGACTTAGGTCTCAGACACTCCCTAAAGAGGGAGCCAAGGCCGGGCCACCACTTGGAAAAGGCCCGGGCCGGGAGAATACCGGCGAATATTTAATAATAATAATAATTAGCGCCACATAATAATATACACCTGATGTATTTAAACTAGAGATAATACCAAGTAATATTTTCATTACCATGTTTTTAGGTTGATTTTTAAGGTATCAAACAAGGTTGATGTTGAAGGTAATTAAACAAGGTTGATATTTAAGGTAATAAAACAAGGTTGATATTTAAGGTAATAAAACAAGGTTGATATTTAAGGTAATAAAACAAGGTTGATGTTTAAGGTAATAAAACAAGTTATTTTGGTCAAAAGCTTCATTTACAGTAAAGTTGGGAATACTGACAAGTAAAGTTGATAAATATTGACCTTCAACGTAGAGAATATTGACCAGTGGTAATATAGGCCAGTGGTTAATATAGGCCAGTAATATTTGGTGAATACTTACTATTAACGCTGGTATATCTTAACCAGCGAAGTAGAAATTATTACCAATGAATTTAAATTAATATTCGCATATAAGGCTGGTGAATATTAACCAAGTGGCGAATGTTGACCAGCGTTGAGGTGAATATTTGATTATGATAGAGGGAATTATTGACCATTTCAGCAGAGGATATTAACCGGACAGCGGGAAATATCGACCGGTAAACTGGTGAATATTCACCAGTTATGGGGAGGGTTACGGACAATATATCTCAGCACGGAATGTGGAACATCCTAGAGAGAGAGAAACCAGATACGGTAACTTGTTGTAAATTAGGTTTCTCAAATTAGCATTCAGCGTCTCCTGTTGGCGAGTTCATATATATATATTTTTTTGCCTATTTTGCCTCCTAATAATTTTTTTATGTATTCTAGTATTTTTCTAACTTCTGACTTTATTCTAACCTAGAAAAAAATATTTTGTCTAATCAGCCAGATTTCTAAGTTCCGTATTTTGGTTTTATTCCGTACACACAATATTTGGGACAGGATGTGGATTGAGGGGAAATTGGGTGAAGGGGACCTGAATTTAGGGGGAGAAAATAGGCACGTAGAGAGAAGGGGTTAAGGAAAATGGGAACTGAAAGGAGGGAGGTGGGTTTGTAGAACGGGAAGTGGCTTGGAGAAGGCAAGGTAGTTCTTACAGAGCGATCTTGTGGGACTTTAAAAGGAAGACAACGGAGACAACGATACTGCTACGGAAGACTTGAAGATCCAAAGAGAGAGAGTTAGAGAGAGTCAGGAACTTGAGAACAGTCAGGACAAAGAAACTGAAGGATATTTACTAAGTCAGTTCACATTTCTGTCTTACTCTGTGGCAGTGGTGCAGAAACACTTGCAATAATAACCTGTCTTCATGAACTAGACCTCCGTATATAAATGCATTGCAATGATCTGTGTTTATGAATTAGACCTCCCGAATATCAATGCCTTATTACGCATACCTAGTCTAAGCAGCGATACCAGCTCACCCGATTGAGCATCACAAGAAGCCTGCCTGATCAGAAATCAGTCTGTAATTACTGCCAGGAAAATTAGGCCTCTACCACTCAGTGCGTTGAGTAACCAAAGCAGGTTTACCAGCGCAGTGCTAACCTAGCCTAAATTTGTCTAATGTTCAAAACTTGCAAAATACGTTACCTGGGAGGGCCTCTGTCAAGAGGCCCTCCCAGGTAACGTATTATACGTTATAAACAACTTTGTAAACAACACTAATTCGTAGGCCCGGCTAGTTATTCTGGTATTCAAAGAATCCAAACAGGATTTTTTTCAGTCTCGTGTGGCTGTGGATGAGTGCTCAGAGGTGTCTGGATTGTCTCACGTTGGCTATTCCAATCTCCGCATCTTTCTGTGACTCCAGCCTCTTTCTACGACTCCAGTCTCACTCTTTCTGTGATTCTAGCCTCACTATGACTCCAGCCTCACTCTTTCTGTAACTCTAGCCTCACTGATTCTAGCCTCACTTCTTCTGTGATTACAGCCTCTTTCTGTGACGCCAGCCTCCTCCACCCTGCCTCTAGCCTTGACTACAGTCACGACCAACTTGGGCAAAAGCCTCATCGAGCAGACTATAAAGCAAATATTGGAATACGATAGCGCTAACGCCATCTGCAAGCCTACAAGTTATCCCCTGTATGTAAACATATACAATCGTAATTAAGTAAAAGAGAAATGTAATCTGTACAATTAAATAACCTCCAGTTCTTGTTTAATACAAGATTCATACTTAACGTTAAAGATACTGCGATGCTGATATGTAAGGTTTGGCAAATTTGTGGAATATCGTGACTGCTACCTAAGAATACTGTAGAGAAGGGAGATGATGCATACTCTGAGGAACAGGATTCTGTTGGGACAACGTTTTAGAGCGTAAGAATGGAGGATCACTGCAGGAGGCCTACTGGCCCATACCTGGCAGGTCCTTCTCGATCTGATCATCTAAAATCGAAACGTTGTGCCAAGAGGCGCCTGAGAGATGAAATCAGTGGTGATGACGAAACAGGGACGCCTAATGGGCGAAACGTGTTATAAAATTCACATGTGCTTTATTAAGATATACTGAAGAACATTTCGCCACGAATATCGATGGACTGAATTAGCCATTAGTGGCGAAACGTTAACTCAATAACTTAATACTGGCCAAGGATGCTGAGTGAAGATATAAATATACGTACGAGGTAGAAGGGATCTTCATCCCAGGAACTGGAGCTGCTCTCCAGGACTATAAAAATAGAGAAAAAACAGTCAAATTCAAGAACGTCGAATGTAAACAAGAGAAAATAATGAACCAGTGATCCATTCGTGAACCACTGAACCGTTCGTTGAACCAGTGAACCATTCGTTGAACCTCTGACCATTCGTGAAATACTGAACCATTCGTTGGACCAGTGAACCATTCGTTGAACCACTGACCCATTCGTGAAATAACCATTCGTTTAACCATTGAACCATTTGTTGAACCAGTGAACCATTCGTTGACCCACTGAACCATTCATTGAACCACTGAACCATTCGTTGACCCACTGAACCATTCATTGAACCACTGAACCATTCGTTGACCACTTGAACCATTCGTTGAACCAATGAACCAGACTTGTGAAGGAAAACAGTATTTCACGAGCCATTGTGTGTTACCTCCGGCAAACCATCAATAAAAACAGAACATACATGGATCATATAAGCGTGAAAATGTAACACATTGCCAAAGAGGAATACTAAATATTTTAAGGATTTTTACTCAGAAAAGGAATATTATATATTTAAGATGTTACTCATAGGAATACTAAAAAAAATTAAGGGATTTTTACTCATAGGGATACTAAAATATTTTTAAGGATTTTTACTCAAAAAATGGATACTTATATATTTTTACCCCTCAAGGAAGGTTCCTTGATGTTGGTGAGGGGCTCTTGATTTAGGGAATTGGATCTGTGCTCCACTTCCCCGAATTAAGCCTGAATACCTTCCACATCCCCCCCCAGGCGCTGTATAATCCTCCGGGTTTAGCGCTTCCCCCTTGATTATAATAATTATATATTTTTAAGAATTTTTACTCATAGGGATACTAAAATATTTTTAAGGATTTTTACTCAAAAAAGGGATACTTGTATATTTTTAAGGATTTTTACTCATAGGGATACTAAAAAAAATTAAGGATTTTTACTCATAGGGATACTAAAATATTTTTAAGGATTTTTACTCAAAAAAGGGATACTTATATATTTTTAAGGATTTTTACTCAAAAAAGGGATACTAAAATATTTTTAAGGATTTTCCTCTCCAAGTTCTGTGTAATAATTTAGAAAGACTTTTCTGTTAACTTTCTTCCGAAACATTTATTTAATATACTATTTTTTTCTGACAGGCTTAAAGAGTATTAAAAATTATATGAAATGACGAATTAAGAACTGAAAAAAATAATGGAAATTACGTACTTTTTCACTGTGTTGAATTTCGACAAAATTAATGATCTTTATTTTTTCAAGTACATGACTCAACTTATACAGACCAAAGCTGACACCAATGACATACTATATAGAATGCCCCTGGTTATGCACAACATTTCCCGCAACTTAGGTTAATTTTGCTCCCAGGATGCCACCCACACCAGTCGACTAGCACCCAGGTACCGATTTCAGTGCTAGGAGAACAGGGACAGCAGGTGTCTTAAGGAAACACGGTTTCCACCCGTACCGGGGATCGAACCACGGACCTCAGTGTGTGAGCTGAGTGCGCTACCAATCGAGCTTAATTTATAATCCACGGATTTTTTAAATTTAAATTATTAAAAAAAAATATTGCAGACTTGCAATATATTTTTTTTTTTCGAATGCCTAGGTAAAAAAAAAAGTGATACGCCTCTCACTGACTAAATTCTAACATAGTTTTCGAGACCATGTAACGAAACCGCGGCATTCCCGCACCAGGAATACTGAAACCTTACAGAAAACGTAATGAAATTACGTAGCAGCCTCGCAGAGCGTACACCAGGTGGCCGCTGAATAAGTGCACACACCTGGTCAGCGAATTGGCATGCAGAACCACGTGATGTCACCTGAATCGACTCAAAAGAGGCCATGAAGTCATATCCCAGGGTACGTGTCTGTGTATTAACGCATTACTCGGCATATAAGGCGCACCTTTTCCCCCATAAAAGCCTTGTAAATCACCCTGCGTCTTATATGCTCAAGTAAGGATCTCGTGTAGGCTTTGGGTTACACTTTAGCAGTTGTTTACTAATGTTAGCAATTTTATCAAAATATTTTTGGATACATAAATTCCGTGCTCTAATCCCTATTTAAAGAATTGAAACACAAATAACCCGCACATAGAGATTTATAACGTTTCGGTCGTACTTGGACCATTAACTGTTCGAAACATGGTCGTGAGCTCCTCATATGTGAGGGTAATTTGTGTATTGTTCCCGTCACAGCATTGTGCCTTTCTGGAAATAAATGGTATAAAATACCGACACAATGGAAATGTAAACATATAAGCAGTATAATGTCATCCTTTATTGACAACGTTTCGCCCACACAGTGGACTCTGGATAAAGTGTTTCTATTTCCATTGTGCCTTTTTCTTCTATATTCTTGTATACATTGATTCAGGTGATTTGGGGCCTTAATGAGACTCGTGTAGTAGATAGGTTTCAAACCTAACAATCTATCATAACCCAATATACTCGAAAAATCCCTAAAATTACCAAGTTATTTAATTTTTACGCTCGTAACTAGTGACGCCAATTTTCAGACAATTTCGCGTGCGTACCGAGCATTACTTCGATACTGGGGTATGAAAAAATACCAGAGTGAAAATAGGAAAGAAAATGAGCATATTTCTTCCTATTTTCACTGGTATTTTTCATGTGTTCACACATATATCTTCAGATGTGTTTAAACACGTGAAAAAATCAGATTTTATTCCCTATTTTTACTGTTTTTTTTTTTTTTTAGCTGTATAGCCCTTGTGGCTTAGCGCTTCTTTTTGATTATAATAATTTACTGTTTTTATTATTTTTAATAACGAGTTTTATTGTGATTTCTTCCTTACTGGTTCGTTACCGGTTCGTTAAATCTCTGCACCGGGACGTTTAAACTACTCACGGTCTACCGAGCCTACTAACAGTTCCCTTTAATACTGACAGAATAGTCTCACCTGGGTAGTCACTAAATCCTGACACTTACAGCACCAATCCGAAGTTTCTAGCGGGTGAATCTATTTACTAGAACCACAACTAACACGGCACTAAATCTGTTTATTAGGCAGCTAAACCATTTAAGAGCACCACTCATAAAATCAAGCCAATAAACCCAGAAACTGGGACCAAAACTATTTAATGGAATACCTTCCAAGCAGTAGTAGCTATTCTTTCTTGAAATTTAACATAACATTCTCAAGGCGCTGGATAACCTTCGCAGTTTAGCGCCCTTTCATTCCTTGAATTTAACCCGATTGCATTCCATTCTCAAAGCTCTGAGTAACCTCTGCAATTTTAGAGCTTTCCTGTACGTATAATGATAGTGGAGTACATAAACCCAGTTCGAAATAAATGACATTGAACAGAAGAATGCGCTATATGCGTGGGGCATGGTTCGAAACCTCAATACCTACTGTTTATACAGAGTGGGGTACGTTTTGGAAGACTGATCAGACTACTGTGTAGTGTAATGAGGTGACTGTGGTCTTAGTAAGTGGTCTTAGGAAGTGGTCTAAGGAAGTGGCCTTTTAGAGTAGTCCAAATCATCTCTGTCCTTCCTTACATTACCTTCCTGTTTCGTGCCTCGGGTGTTTAGCTTCAAGGTGTTCAGTCCTCAGGTGTCCCCTGTGTCCTAGTTTCCTGTCCTCAGATGTGTCACCTGTGTCCTAGTCTCCACTCCTCAGGTGTATCCCTTGTGTCCTAGTCTCCAGTCCTCAGGTGTCCCCTGTGTCCTAGTCCCCACTCCTCAAGTGTGTCACCTGTGTCCTAGTCTCCACTCCTCAGGTGTGTCACCTTTGTCCTAGTCTCCAGTCCTCAGGTGTCCCCTGTGTCCTTGTCTCCAGTCCTCAGGTGTCCCCTGTGTCCTTGTCTCCAGTCCTCAGGTGTCCCCTGTGTCCTTGTCTCCAGTCCTCAGGTGTCCCCTGTGTCCTAGTCTCCAGTCCTCAGGTGTGTCACCTGTATCCTAGCCTTCAGTCCTCAGGTATCCCCTGTGTCCTAGTCACCAGTCCTCAGGTGTCACCTGTATCCTAGCCTTCAGTCCTCAGGTGTCCCCTGTGCCCTATTCTCCAGTCCTCAGGTGTCCCCTGTCCGAATTTAACCACCCTATTATAAGTATTTATTACTTTCTGCTGTGTTAAAAACTCGAAGTAAACATGTGATCCAAAGGGTATATACATTGAAATATGTTTCTCTGTGTATATACACTGAGAGTTTGTATTATGTATGTCTATATTTATTATTTATATTTATTAGTAACACAGCCGTTTCACAACTAGACAGGTTGAGCCGAAAGAAAGAAATACGTTCATCATCATTCACTCCATCACTGTCTTGCCAGATGCATGCTTTCACTACATTTCAAAACTGCAACATATCTTCACCCCTACTTCAGGGTGAAGGACTCAAGAACCGATTTCCCTGATTTCCTACATAAACGTTGTCTTGCTCGCACTCCAACAGCACGTGAAGTCATAAAAACCATTTGTCTTTACTTGCTTCTAACATGGTCCTTGTTCAACTGCGATCCTGCTCTCTGTCTTAAGATACACCTTACCAGCTGTACTCAACATGCATATTCCCTATAAATATTACTCTTTTCGTCCCCTTTGCCTTTATACAAAGGAACTATACATGCTCTCTGCCAGTCCCTAGGTACCTTACCCTCTTTCATACATTTATATAATAAAATCAGTAACCATTCCAAAAATATATATACACCTGTTTTTAACATTTCTGTCTTGATCCCATCAATCCCAGCTGCCTTATCCCCTTTCATTCTACCCACTTCCTCACGCACTTCCTCACTAACGTCTGGCTCTTCCTCACGCCTAAAAGATATTATTCCTCCCTGGCCAATGCACGAAATCCCAGCGTCCCAATATTCATCAACATTTAGGTTTCTCAAAGTATTCTCTACATCTTCCCGATACCTTCAACTCACCATCTAATAACTCTCCTTGCCTATTTTTAATTGTCAAGTCCATTCGATCCCTAAGCTTTCTCTGCTGATTAATCTCCAGATATTTTTCATATATATATATTTAATTTATTTATTTAACACACTGACCGGCAGTCTCCCACCGAGGCAGGGTGATCCCAGATAGAAGGTAAATACTTCAGTTATCACTGTCTTGCTAGAGGAGCATTAATGCTACAGATGCCCCGCCAAACTGTAAATATCACAACACCTCTTTCAGAGTATATGCACTGGTACTTCACACCTCCAGAATTTAAGTCAGGCTAACCAATTTCCCTGAATCCCTTTATAAACATTATCTTGCTGACACTCCAGCAGCATGTCGTCATAAAAATCACTTTCCTCCACTTCCATCTAACTTGCCTGATGGATGTCCAAGTTCCTCGCATACAAAACCTCTTACACTCCCTCCAAACTATCCTAGGACGAGCCCTACCCCGACTATTCCTCCACTACAGATTTATACACCTTCCAGGTCAATCTATTTTGCTCCTTCCTCTCTAAATGTCTAAACCATCTCAATCAACAGCCCTTCTTCAGCCCTCTGGAAAATGCTTTTAGTAATCCTGCACCTCGTAATATCCAAACTGCGATTTCTTTACATAATATTAACACAGCATATTAGCCTCAGACACGACATTTCCACCGCCTCCAGCCTCTTTGTTGCAACATTTACAACCCATGCTTCACCCCTACATAAGAGTATTAACACAACTATGCTCTCAAACATTGCCCTTTTTGATTCCATGGATAATTTTCTTTGTCTCAGATGCCGCATTATACCACCCACCTTTCCCCCCCTCCTTAGTTCTTTGGTTAAACTCTTCTTTCATAGAACAGTCTGCCGACAAGTCCACTCCCAAATATTTGAACACATTCACTTCCTTTATACTCCCTCCCTCCAATCTGATATCCAGTCTTTTATTACTTAAGTTTTTGTTACCCTCTATCTAATATTCACTTATAATTTCCATTTACATTCCCTCCCAAATTCATCCACCACCTTTGCAACTTTTCTTCAGAATCTTCTAAAAGTACTGAAATTGGCAAACTGGAACTTTGACAACTCCCACTGTACACTAGATTTTTTATCTTTCAATCCCAAACCTCTTGCCAACATCCCAGCACTCGCTACTCGTACAATCCCATCTATAAATATGTTAATCAACCACGGTGACATCACACATCACTGTCTAAGGCCTACTTTTAATGGAAAATAATCTTCTATCCTGAATACCCTAACTTAAGCCTCACTCTTAAAAACTCTTAACTGATTTCAGTAACCTACCACATGTTCCATACACTTGAAACATCTACCACACTGCTCCCCTATCCATACTCTCATATGACTTCTAAATCCATAAAAGTAACGAAATCTTCCTTATCTAAATATTATTCACCTATATGTTTCACTGTAAACACTTGGACTACACACCCCCTACCCTTCCTAAAGCCTCCTTGCTCATTTGTGGTCATCATCTCCGTCTTACTCTTAATTCTTTCAATAATAACTCTCCAATACACTTTACCAGATATACTCAACAGGTTTATACCCTATAATTTTTATGCTCCCTTGTGCCCCCTTTTCTTTTATACAAAAGGAACCATGCATGCTCTCTGCTACTCCCTAAGTACCTTCCCCCTTTCAGTCATTTATTTAATAAAACCACCAACCACTCCAAAACTATATCCCCACCTGCTTTTAATATTTCTGTGTTTATCCCATCAATCCCAGCTGCTTTGCCCCCTTTAATCCACCCACCGTATTACGCACCTTCCCCATACTCGCATCTGGCTCTTCCTCACCCCAATTAAATGTTATACTTCCCTGTCCAATGCATGAAATCACTGCCTCCCTTTCTTCATCAACATTTAAGAGTTATTCAGAATATTCCAACATTCCAACACACTCTCATTTACTCATCGTTTACACTTCCTCACCATTTTTTAACCGCTTTCTTTTTCTCCATATACTCTACTCTCCAGCTTTGTAAAATCATCTCAAAAAATTTTCAAAATATAAATGAAGCTGTGAAATTTAAATTGTATACTGTTAATTATTAATGTAATTAATGAATTTAAAATTACATTCATAATATTTTTACGACTATACATAATCACAGATAATATACATATTTTTTAACCAGAGATTTCCTTTGTAAATTTAGTAATGTATACAGGAGAAAAGGGTTACTAACCTCTTGCTCCCGGCATTTTAGTCGCCTCTTATGACACGCATGGCTTACGGAGGAAGGATTATTTTCTACTTCCCCATGAAGACAAATGAAAATACAAGAATACATACGAAAAACACAGAAATAAAATGTCAAAATAAACACAGGAGATACTCAGAAATTAGTATTTCTCTCAGTGTATATATGTTCAGAGCTAATTTTAACCCCTCTTGTGAGGATTAGAATATTCTTGCCTGGTGATGAAAGGTTACATGCAGCCTGACCCTCGTGCAGTCGATAGGCTTCAAACCCCCATAACCAACCAACCTTATTTAATAGTACATAACCATAAAAGAAATGGTAATTGCGTGAAACGCTGGAGGCTCGATCCTCCTTGTGGGATTATCACCTTCCAGGGGAGTGTAGAGTGTCAACCCTTAAGAAATAATTTTTAAAAGCATATCAAAATTCTGGACACGAATCGTGCCTTTTAAATAACCCTTAAGACCTTTTAACCACACAATCATCAGATACTAACGTTAATATACTGGAAAGTCAACATACTGCAAAGGCTTTCGCAGATATCACCCCTCAAGGGAGGCTCCTTGATGCTGGTGAGGGGCTCTTGATCTAGGGAATTGGATCTGTGCTCCAGTTCCCTGAAATGAGCCTGAATACCTCCCCCCCCCCACGCGCTGTATAATCCCACGAGTTTAGCGCCCCCCCATGATTATAATTCACAGGTATCTGAATCCTGTCTTAAAAATATTCATTAAATATTTGCAATATTGGAAATATTTCCAAGAATCTGTGAGAGATAAAGACAGGGTTTAAAAAAAGGTAAAAAGCCCAGAGAGACAGTAACAATGGTAATATGTGGACCAAAAAAGGTAACTGGAAATTAGAGATAAAAATGCAGTGGTCCCCAACCTTGGTACACAAGTGGGTGCCATTTAATGGTCAAATGTATGACGAGTGCCACACTGATTTGTTGACACTGTGCAGTGTGGAACCTACATATGAGTGAATTTATAATTTCCTTTGAGGGCCGCATCCATTTCCTAGAAGGGCCACATGTAGCCCACGGGCCGCAGGCTGGGGATCCCTGCATTTGACCGTAACGTGGCGTCCCATCTGTTTCGTTGTATACACGCACCATCAACGAAATACACTCGTGTCACAGTTGTAGAGCGAAGTAGAGACCTAAACGTAAGATATTCTATTTGAGAGTAGAGATAGAATGGGAAATGAGCAAGCAATATGAGGAAGAACTCCTACGTAGCACTGTAGCACCAGGGGAGGCAGACAACAGACAAGAGGGATGAGAGAGAAAGAAACGACAGCTTTTGGCTCCCGAAGGCATCTAACTTTAACAACAACAACAGACAACAAGAGCAGTCGGCAATATAAAAAGTTGTCTCCTAATTTTTCATAACAGCTAGTGCGTGATGGGTGGCGGCAGATGTGACTCAGGAGCCATGGTCGAGGTAGTCTTTATATTCTGTAGGGCTGTAGGTAGTTCCCTCATCACGTTCGTCATCGTCTTCATAGTAGGCACTGTTCGTGTATTTATCCTGGTACAACAGTCCGCCGCCCTCGTACCGGTTCTTTAAAATCGATCTGAGAGGTTCAGATGGCCTCTGTGATTCCACAGATCCCATGTCCACCATAGCGTCCGCTACGGAGCCCAAACCCCGTCCCTGCATAGCGTCCAACATGGACTCTGAAGGCCCTAGACCCCGGGTTTGCATAACGTCTCTTACACCGTCAGCCGTAGCTAACGCCCGACTTTGCAGAGACTCGATCATGGATTCAGAATTAGCTACCGACCGACTGTGCATAGCGTCTATAACCGAATCGGAAGGTCCGCGTGCTCTTCCTTTAAGTACCTCTCTTACTGCATCAGAATGCCCCACTGTTGTGCCCGATATGATGCCAAGGCTGGACTTCCTGTGTACTAGGTCCCCAGGACGCGACACGTCGAGTAGCGGCTCCGTAGCGGCCCTGGCTCGGCGTCGAGGTCGACCCAGCTCCATGTCGAGGAAGGGGGAGCCTGGAGTCGACGGGCTGGCAGAGGAGGGAAACAGGCTTACACCGCCTGTGACGTCACGGGTCAAACTCCCAGTACGGCTCAAGCTGGCAGTGACGTCACGGGTAAGGCTACCAGTCCGGCACAAGCTGTCTTTGACGTCCCGAGTCAGGCTGCCAGTACGGCTCAGGCTACCCGTGACGTCACGGGTCAGGCTGCCAGTACGAGAGAGACTTCCAGCGAGGTCACGGGTGATGTCCCGGCTGAATCCGCTAGTGATGTCACGCGTTAGGCTGCCCGTGACGTCCCGTGACAGACTGCTGGCAAGATCACTGAGAACTTTCCCAGAAGTGTCGAGACTGTCGGAGAAAGCTGTCAGCCTGAAAAGTAAAAGAATATTTTAATGCAAACTGGGAGCGAACGTAGTTAGCAGGACTCGATACTGCTACTGAGACGAGCAAGATTCCCAGGCAGTGCTCTTATCCACTCAGCCACAAATGCCTCACAAGCTGGGCAGCCTGGTTCACAAGCCATGTTTCTTACCCAGCCCGGGCACGTCAGTGAACCTCAAGCATGAACTCAATCTATTTCAATCTTCTCCTGAATGTTCTGACCTCACAATCGATTTTTCTATCAATGTACTATGCAGAAACAAGCGGGTACATAGAGAAAAAGATGTGGCTGAGTTGATAAAAATGCTGCCTGGAAATCTTGCCCGTCTCAGTAGCGGTATCGAGTCCTGCTGACTGCAGGACTCATATATAATATATATATATTCTTAGCTTTCCTAAATATCTATTTTGTTTTTTTCATACCTGTATAATTTAGTCCCACTCCCCTATAATTCAGTCCCATTCCTCTATAATTTAATCCCACTCCCTTGTAATTCAATCCCACTCCCCTATAATCCAATCCCACTCCCTATAATTCAATCTCACTCCTCTATAATTCAGTCCAACACCTCTACAGCCAACATTCACGTTAGAGAAGTTCACTTCCCCAAATGTATAACCTATTCAGTCATTCACTCTAATCTCACATCCCTACAACTAATTCTTACACTCTTACAACGCACAACAACTGCAATTCTTTTCCCCACTCGTGATTGTCACTCTAAAAGTATCTAAATCTTATTCTTCCCTCAGTTTCAAACTCTCACAATTCACATCAACGCATCCCCATACCCCTACCCATATCTCTCCCTCTCTCTCTCACTCTCTCTCTCTCTCTCTCTCATATTAACCTATCCACCCACCTACCTCCATCTCACTGCAATAAATCTGTCTCAGAGCACACACTCCTCACTGTCTTCTCCCACACTCTAAAACCTAATATTCTCGCTCTACTAAGACATCCACGCACACCCACACCTCGGAAGACACACGCTCACTCATCTTCCCTACAAAACAT